TCCGCACACATACATACACATACACATTTATACATTTACAGAACCAATAGCAGAATTTTTGTTCACCCGAATATATTGTTAAAATAAAAAGCACATAATAATAATAGACTTATATGTATATAATATAAAAAATATAAGACACATATATATTTACATATATACATATACATTTTTAATATAACGTAAATAAAAAGTGCTAATATTTAAAACTAATATATAAATAAGAGTTTATTATATTCAAATATTATATATATATCAAGTGCTAATATTTAAAACTAATATATAAATAAGAGTTTATTATATTCAAATATTATATATATATCAAGTGCTAATATTTAAAACTAATATATAAATAAGAGTTTATTATATTCAAATATTATATATATATATATATATATATATAACACATATTTATATAATAATACATCGTAAACGAAATATATAAAGAGTAACCAAAATATATATATAATATATTGTAAAAAAAATAATAATAATATCATCTTGCAAATTTTATTGTAAGGAAACGAAAAACATAATGAGCATCGTTTTATATCCCTAATGTACAATTTCAACTTGTTGCACCCTGTTCGACTGACAACCATTCATAATTGATGCCCAGTCCTAATTAGTTATCAATATTAGTTATTAATTAACTAATAATTAATAGATATCAACTAATTTAAGGAATTAATACTGAAGGAATTTTTAAGTTGATGTATTGATGACAGACAGATTGAAAATTGAAAATTTATTTATGTATTTAATTTCCACTCAAGTCGGTCGATACAAAAATATAATTTAATACTGAATTTTAATTTAAAATATTAGACTAATTTATAATTTATGTATATTTATATCATAACCACTGTTATTAAGAAACCACTTTCTAAAATTAAAAAAGGGTAATACATTAACAAAAAACATTTCAAAATATTTATAAATACATGAACAATAATTTTTTAAATTAGTCACGGATCTTTTCTTTACAAAAGGAAAAATAATAATAATAACTGTTTAAGCACAAGCATAAGTGAAAACACAAGAGTTTATTATAAATTAAAAATAAGTGATATATGTGCTTAAAAAAAAGCCTGTAAATTAGACAAGTTTTTGCCAAATATTAAAAAAATAAATTGAATCGCCAGTTTTCTTTGCTTTTATATACATTTTTTTTTTTCTTATTTTTTATATGTATGGATTTTATAGGACATTTGGCATGGTCCCAGACATGATTTTATATGAGGAAAATAAGCGTAACTGTGCGTGCGTATGTATATATGTATATATACATTTGCGTGCATGTGTATTAACTTCGTCTGTTAACGGAGTCCACCATGTGACACAATTCCACATTTAATACACACACACACACAGACACACACAGGCACACACACACACACAGGCATACACACACGCAGGCACACACACACACAGGCACACACACATTGAAACATCAAGGCATGCAACTATAAAATTGTGTATACATATTCGGGGTTTTTGGTTTTAGTTTTTGCCTCTAGTTCTGTAAATATATATTTCTTTGTTATTTCACATATACTCTATTTCATTCATTTTACTTTAACTATGTAAATAGATATAGCAATATATGCCGTTAGTTTCCGAATTTTTAAAAATTAGTTTTTAGTTTTCTTGTTGCAACCGCGGTGGAAAATTTTGGTGTGAATTGAAAAACGCTGAAAAGTATACTACAATTTGGTAAACTTTGCTGCTCGTCGAGGCGAACACACACACGCTCTCTCTCTCTCTCTCTGCGCTCTCTCACTCGCTTCCCTCAGAACTTTTATTAAAGTAGCACGCACAGGCACAGCGACGGCGATGGCACAACTACACCAATGGCGACGCCGACAGCGACTGTATAAAACTTCAGCTCAGCGCAAAAGCTTAAAGAGAGCAGCAGAAGCTAGCGTGAGAGAGCGAGTAAGCGTGAGAGAACGCAGCAAATTGAGAGACCCAGCAGCGAACTACCCATCGGCAAACGCCCAACTGCATAATTGTATTTAATTTTTTGTTTTAATTTCTGTTATACACCTAATGCAATGTATTTCAAATGTAATTTTTAATTGAGTTTTTATTTAAAATGTTAAGTATTAAATATGCACTTTTAACTTGATGTCTTATCAATAATTATTTCTTATATATGTTGGTTTTAAGTACGTTTTGAAAACATTTACTACATATGAAATCAAAGCTACACCGCCTACAAAGTATAGAATACGAATTTAATTCGTAATGGGACCTTTTTGCTGCTGGGTATCGATAGAAAGAGCGCATTAAGATTGAGAGCACGCCCAAATTAACCAATGAGCAATGAGCATTGCGCATGTCTCGCACAGCTGAGTACAGCAAAAGCTTGCAATTGTTGCGCGGGAGTTGCGAACATGAAAAGCTGTGCAAGCTTTACAAGCGAGAGAGAGAAAAAGAGAGAGGGAGCCACTTAATATAAATATGCGAACATATACATGCACGAGCGAGAATGGGAGAGAGCGAAAGAGGCAAACACTCGCATGCATAAAAAGTGCCGACTCCTTTTGACCCAAATACAGGGTGTCCCACTTGTGCAGCTGTTTAATTTACTCTTGTTTATTTATTTATTTTCTTACTTTGATACAGAAGGTGTCATATGAACGTAACTTTTTTCGACACCCTTTGAGATAGGGACTTAAAACTTGGAACATATACTGGTCTGTGCACGCGTCCGACAAAGTGTAAAAATTGGAATGCTACGTCCACTAGAGGGCTAGCAAATCGAGAAAAATTTACCAAACTTGGAAGGAAGATTACTAGGAATATTATCTTATACTTTTTCTCGACCCAACATTTTCAAAAGCCCATATCTCCCGTAATTTAACAAATACAGTTGGCACACATCGAAGAAACTACTAGATTATATTTATCGCAATTTGAAAGGCAAACTTAGACAGTATTTCTTGGCTACACCCACCCTGTTCTTTGCTACCTGTCATCAGCTTTTATTACGAATGGTATCAAAGTTACCACTGACTGCAACGTTCTCTATTTTTTTTAACTTTTCCATTATAAAATTATTTATTTATTATTTATTTTTAGTTCATTTTATTTATTATATATTTTTTCACTTTCCTATTTTACTTCTAATAATAATATATTTATTTTATTTTTAATTTTTTATTTGCAGACTTACATAGGACACGACACTTTGTCGCTGATGCTTCAAAAGGCAGCTAAATTTTCGAGTTCTTTCAGCGACAGTTGTTGCTGTTGTTGTTGTATTCTGCTTGGGAATTGTTGCATTTGTTTCACAATTGGTATTTAGCGGCATTAAATGCGGCCAGCTGCGATCACCAAATAAACCCAATATTAAATTCATCTCTCGATTATATTTCACGATCCGCGCAACTCGAGCAACAATTTGTTATGCAATCAGCCAATAAACAACCAACAAGCAACTCATTCAACTGTTGCCAATTTCACGCTTATTTCGAGAATTTGCATTCATATCATCAGCAAATTATCAGCATACACGGGAAGAAAAGTACTGGCATACTCAGAGCTTAGCTTATTTGGGAGCATGAATTTTTATGAAACAAATATGTTAATTTCTAGGGTATTAAATTAGCTTTGTTGGTACTTTGATAATTATTATAATTATTATTGTTATTTTTATTATTTGTATTGTGATTAAAATTATTATTATTGTTACTGTTATTATTATTATTAATTTCATTGATATTTTTATTATAATTTTTTTGGAATTCTAAGATTTATTATTATTGTTATTATTATTATTCAATTGTTATTACTGTTTTAAGTTTTCACACAAACATTTTAATTAGTTTATAAAATTCACATTATTTAATTGGGAAGATTAACATTTTTTTTCTGCTTTCTGCATCTTAGAAAGTATTTTTAATTTTTAACTTTTATAAATTTTAGTTCTGCATAGAAAAAAAAAATATTTTTGGGAAACCAACAATATTGAGCAATTATTTGTGAAAGGAACAATAATTGCTCATATTTTAGGGAACATTTCAAAGAAAATAGGAAAAATAACCTTGCTAATTTTTTAATTTACTTGGAAACGATTTCCAATTCCTCTCGCTGAGTGTATGTATAATTTGACATAGATACATAAGTACTACACACCACACTCCACATACACATAATTAACAACTATGTAAATTAGTTTGCTTATCAGCCGCACTCTGACCGACCCCAAAGCCAATAAATTAATCGCATTATTCTCTCTCCCAAATGCGATGACTACAACTATTATCTCTCCATTAGGTAAGTAATGTTCTAGTCGAGTAAGCTCTATTACCAAATACCGTATAAAAATTATGACTTCAAATTGAGAACACATTTTCGATTATACGTTAGAGGTTTCTTATGCGGTCTTGCTGAAATTGTCCAGTTTATTAATAGTAAATTTAAATATGTGGTATATCAATTAGGAAATCAATTTATAAATTATAATAATTTTAGAAACACGAGTTAAAACACTTTTTTGTCGATATAATTTCAAAATATAAAAACATGATGAGATATCAGTAAAAATGAATTATTGATATAGGAAAGTATTTTTTATCTCAGTTAAATCTTAAAATAATAATGATTATTTGTAGTTGTGAAATAAATTCCTTCGAAAAGCTGACAAAAATATATATTTTATCTAATCAAAACTTATCTTATTTTTAAAATTTAATTTATTTTAAAAAAATTTTTAAATCATAATTGAGTTATTTATTTAAAAAAGTATTTTTTGGCTCAGTTAAATCTAAAACGGTTAAATTATGAATTATTATATGCTTATTAGTAATTGTGAATTAGGAAATCCTTTCTAATCTTAAATTTCCTATATAAATTAGAATTTTAAAAATAAGAAGTATTTTTAACCTTATTTAAATTTTTAAATAATATTTATCGAATCTAAACTTATTTTAGCTTACTTTTCGCTTATTTTTTCCTTTGGAGTTAAATGTATGCATGAGAAATGTACTTACATTGAGTTGCATGATGATTTTATTGTAGGCCCAATGCCAGCGCTGCTTGGCCGTAATCTCCGTCTTGCGCATAATTTGCATGTGACCACTGACAACCTCCTCCGTCTCGCCACGCAGCAAGACCTTCTTTGCCTTCTGCGACTTGCTGCGAATGGGCAACAGATCCGCTAACTGATCCTCATCATCCACATCCACATCATGCTCCTCCTCCTCATCTTCATCGTTGGGATGTTCCTTTTGGATCGCTGCCTCGTTTAGGGTTGGCTCCGCCTCTTCGATAATAATGCTATCCTGTTTCTGTATCGGATGATGTACGCCAATCGAATGCGTAACTTGTTCGCCCTGATTGATGCCCTCCTGTATTTTGTGGGTCTTGGCAATACCGAGTCCAACACTACCACTCGAGCTTTCATCTAGATAATTGCCACAGTCGTCATCACTGTTATACGGCTCATCCAGATAATCGCCATGATAATCGAGCGAACTTTGCTTTTGACCGGCCACCGATTGATAATGTTTTGAATGTTGATGTAGATTTTGAGAATGTTGGGAATGTTGAGGGTGCTCTTGATGATGATCGGGATGCTGTTGATTCTGCTGCTGTTGCTCAAGATATTTGTATTCATCCTCTTCGTTAAAGTAATCCTCACGATAATCATAAACAGGACCCGCTGCTGCCACAGCACTACTGGCAACAGCAGCAGCACTACCGGCATTAACAACACTGTGTTCATAATAATCGTTTGTTAGACGACTGCTCGACGGTGTCGTTTGCCTGAGCTGATCCATATAGTAATCATGCTGCTCACTATTCATGCCATAAATCGGTTCTGCCTCCACAAGATCCTCCTCCTCCAGCCCCAGCTCCTCCTCCTCCTCATCTTCATCTATAATGATATCGTCCTCATCTAGTTCCAAATCGGACACGTCTTCATCATCTTCGTAGATCTCTGTGGGCTGTTGTTTAATGAGCAGACTCGATTTACCATTTATGGTGGGCAGTTTTTTGCCGCCGGATATTGTTAACGGCACCGTTGGCAGTTGCTGGCCCTGATTAGCCTCCGAATAGTATGACGTATATGCCGTGTTATCGATTCTCGATAACTCATTGTAATTGTGTGGTATATGTGTATTGCTATTGACGTAATCAGCGCCAGTTGTTGTCGTCATCGTCGTCATTACTTCATTATAATCACTGTCCATCAGCAGAGGGTAGTCAGTTGTTAAAGGTACTGCTGTTATCGGTACGCCCATAGCTGCTGCTGTTGTCATCGGTACTCCCCCCATCGGTACCTCTTTAGTCTTGCCCTGACTGTTTGTGGCAGGCACCGTTTTTTGCACTACCGCTGATGCCACCGATGAGGCACTCTGCGTTGCCGACTGTACAGCTGCAGCGGCCTTCCCAAATATCGAACCCAACATGCCACTACCACCGCTACCCTTTGTGCTCAGCTTCGCAATTAACGGTTGAGTTTTCGTCTCTGTCTCACTCTTTGTGGTATAAAAAGAGGGTGCCATTGTCTCAATGGGTTCACTCTGCTGGCACGTGGTCACCTTGAAGGGCTCTGCGTAGTTGTAGGCCTCATTTGGATAGCTTTGCGGGTACTCACTGTAGCCGTACTCATCGTCAAAGTTCAGCTGTTCCGTGTGCGAATTGTCTGCGCTCATCAGGTCCTCATCGAGGCTATCGAGGTAATCATTAGTTTGTAGGGATATAGACGTACCAGCTAGGTCAGCAGCACCCGTTGCATTTGGTTCGTAGCTATAACCATAATCATCGTAGGCGTATGTTGTGGGGACCGACTGCTTTACCAACTGCTGTACCGGCTGCTGTACCGACTGTATCGGTTGCTGTACCGGCTGCACTTCCTTGTTGCTAGCACCCGACAGCAATCCGCCCACATTTGGCACCAATTTGGATGCCAGACCAAAACCGAAACCTTTTTTATTATTATTATTGCTGGTCGTGCTCTGATGTTTTCCCGCTTCCATTGTGGAACTGACGCCACTCAAAACACCATCCAAGCCACCTTTAAAACCTTTGGAGAGCCCGCCCAGCACACTACTAGCAACTACCTTTGCTTTCGGTGGCTGTGACTGTGACTGCGATTCTAACGGTAACTGTGACTGTGATTGTAACGGCAACTGCGACTCTGTTTTATTTGGCTTGTAATAGCCACCCGAAAATTCATTCACTTGATTATTATCAATCAATAACACATTATTCGCTGGCTTTGTGGCTGTCGTTAAACTCGTCTCGCTTTCGATATGTGCGATTGTTGCTGTTAGTGCCGATAAATCGACATTGAAACTATCGTAGAAACTATCGTCGAAAGCGGACGTTTTTCCAGTTGTTAAGCTCGCTGAGGTTGCAGTTGTTAGCTCAGTTGGCAAATCTGGCTCTGGATCAAAGGCATAGGTTGGCAACTCTGCTTGGTTATAAAATATAGATGGCAACTCTGTTTGCTTATAAAGGTCAAATTGCAACTCTGGCTGATTATAAGTGATAGGTGGCAACTCTGTTTGTTTATAGAGGTCAAGTGGCAACTCTGTTATTTGATCAAAAGAGGTAGGTGGCAACTCTGGCTGATCATAAGCGATATGTGGCAACTCCGGCTGATCATAAGCGATAGGTGGCAATTCTAGCTGTTTATAGATGTCAGCAGGCGACTCTGTTTTCTTATAAAGGTCAGCTGGCAACTCTGTCTTATTATAAGCGCTGGTTGGCAGCTCTGTTCTTTTATTGTCACCAGCTGACAACTGTGCCTGATTATAAAAGCTATGTGGCAACTCTGGTCGATCATTGCCGCTGGGTGGCAACTCTGTTTGTTTATACAAGTCAGCTGGCAACTCTTTTTTGTCATAAACTTGTAACTCTTTCCGATCAGAAGGTGGCAGCTCTGTCTTTTCCTTGGTCAAATCTGAATTCCAGGCGTTAAATTCTTCAGGCATATAACTTTCTAATTGAAATTCGGTTTTGCGCCCCAATTCACCAGTTGATTTATCGTTATCGTTAATCACTGCTGCTGTTAATCGATTGACATCGACATCAACATCGCTGCAAATATCAAGAATGGGCGGCAAATCGGGCAATTGAAATTGTTTCATATAGTCCACATAGGACAGCGTTGGTGAACTTATTGAAGCAGTGTTGATAGCGCTAACTTTAGCTGCGGGGTTGTATAACGTTGTGGGAGTTGTTGCTGTTGCAGTTGTTGTTGTTGTGAACACGTTGTTGTTTAATTGGCCCAGTGTTTTGACTACATCGTGAGCAACACTTTCGCGCTCCAGTGTTGTTATATAATCAAATGTGCTTGTTGCGCAACATGCATTATCAACATTGGACGACATTGGTGTTGTTGTTGTTTTTTCATGGCTCCAGCTTGTTATGGAATTTGGCATTTCCATTTCCAGCAATTTAAATGTATCTAATTTATCAGCACTGTTTTTTTCTTTTCTTTCTTTTTCTTGTTCAACGTCATATTTGAGTTGATCGTATTTATAGGGTTTCAAATACTCGGTAATATCGAATGGGGAAGATGTAGAAGCTGTTGTTAGAGTTGCTGTTATTGTTGTTGAATTGATTGATTGATGAGCGGTTGACATGATTGTGGTGGCGAAATCAGCAATTTGAGGAATTTTACTTTTTTCACATGTTTCAAATTTCTTGATTTTATTTGGGTCAGTTAACGCTTGAACTGATTGATGTTCATTTGATTGATGATTGATTGATGGCATTTCGAAATCGCAATAGGCCAATTTATTTGATTGACTCTCAACAGTTGCCAGAGTTGCGGCATCCGTCAGGAAAGCACCATCAACCGCCGTTGACTGATTGATTGATTTACTAGGAACTAATTGCGTTTTCACTTTAGGTATGGGTAACTTTGGCAACTGTTTGTGGCTGCGTGCCGGTGGTTGTTGTGGTTGTTGCTGCTGTTGATTAATTGATTGATGAGCAATTGAGGTTGAGTTTGTGGATGCTTCAGCTGCGCTTGGCACTGATTGATGATGGCTGGCTTTGCTATATGCGGGCGGTGATGGCAAACGTTTTGGCAATTTTCTAGCTGAGTTGGTCTCCGATTTGCACCAGCTAAAAGCTAAAGTGGATGGCGTGACGGAGGCGGAAACGAAATTTAAGCCGGATTTGGAGACGTAATTGGAGCCGTAGTTTGACCCGGAGTTGAAATTATTAATATTTGTATAATGATAAGAATTGGAGTTTGAGCTCCAATTTGTCGAATGCTGCTGCTGTCCAGCTGCGTTTACGGGTACTTGTACGGGTATTCTTGTCTCGCCGGATGCTATCACCGACGCCGTAGTCATGGCCATCATTAGCGATATTTTGCGCTGCTGTTGCAGCTTGTGCTGGACATTGCTCATTGGCGGCGTATCACTGTAAGCCGATAAGTTATCGGCATTATTTGAACCGTAATCGGCGCCATAATCGCTGCCGTAATCCATGCCGTAGTCTAAAGGCAACATTGATGTATACGGTCGATAAATTTCCGACTCTAGTTCCGGTTGCTGTTGCTGCGTTTGTATTGAGGAACGTGTTCTCAGCTGTGGCTCCGGCAATATACGCGTTGTTGCCGGCAAACTGATAAAGCTGCCAATTCTTTCATCCGTCGCAATTGCATCATTTTGTGGCAAAATGCGATACGCCGTATTATCCATGGGTGCGGCGGGCAAACGGCAACCGTAACGACTGCCACGACGGACGTACGAATTTTCCGTACTCTCCGTATTATGGGATCCACAGCCATTTGGCATACCGGGCACGACTGGCAACATTTTCGCCGTATAACCAGCCGTATAGGAGCCGTAGTCCGTGGTCTCCGGCCAATAGTGCTGCTCATCCGTGCCGTAATCGTAGGCCGTATTAAATGTACGATTACCTTCGCCATCGCCCTGACTCCATTCCTCGCCGCACAACTCATAGTCATCATCGTAGTTTCTCGCATCCGTATCCGCATCCGTATTCGTCGTATACGGCGATAATGGTCGACGGTCCGTGGTTAAGGCATCGTTACGATTATTCTGATAGCACTTTTCCGTTGCATTATGCTGTAATTAATATTTATAATAATTATTAACTAATTATAGATCATTTTGTATATTCTTGATCTCAAATTTACCGTCATGTTTTAGTAATTACTCCTCGCGCTCGGATTGAAGTTGTTCTTTTTGTTCTTGTTTTTGTCGGCGAAGAGTTACGTACATTGAAATCATGAAATTTTCTCGATTTCGCTTTCAGACAATGTTGCGTACTGAAATCGGGGAGAGTTGCTGGCATCTTATCACCTGATCGACATCAAAATACTTTCTGTGTATTAAATAAAAAATAATATAATATTAAAATGTTATATATTTATCTTATTTTATACACTGATTTTATTTTTAATTTTGAATAAAAGTGTACCTGGAATCAGGACCAACACTTCTAACATACGGTCATTTTCAATATTTAAATTTTCATTTAAAATGTATAAATATTACATTCTTTTTTATTTTTATTTAAAACCCATATTTATTTCACTACATTTTTAATTTTGGAATAATGTATAATCATTTTTCTTAAAAAATTCTGTATATATAACAGCCGGATTCCACAGATCAACATTTCCCACACTCTTCAGTTTCTACACTATGTTTTAATACTTCAATTTTAATTTAAAATGAATGAATATTTAATTTTATTTGAAATTATTTATCAGTCTTTAAAAACCGATATTTTTAATTACCTTATTCAACTGATCAACATTTCTAACATTATCCTACAGTATTTTTTGGAAAACTGTCGCTCAAATGTAATATTTTTTTTGTAAAGAACAGTAATTATTTTTTTTTTTTTTTAATTTTAAATTAAAACGCATCTATGTGATATTTTATTTTACCTTTTCGTTTTTTTAATTTAAAATGCATAAGTACAACATTTTATTTTTAATTTTATTTAATTAAAAAAAAAAAAACACCACTGCCCACGGTGCGCAGTAGCAGAACTGATTTAAATAGCTATTGACAGCTTTATCTCTCTCTATCCACAGAGGATTGTTTGTGTGCGTGTATATGTAAAACTAGTTTAACATTCTGCATATTCGATTAGCTATAGAGCAACTGTAAATCTCCTAATTCTTCATTTTCAACAAGCAATGACGCTTTTGCTCACACCCACGCACACAAACAAAACAACGTATTTGATTTTCCTTACACACAAGCAAACGCAGGCGCCTATGTGTGCATGTGTATGTGTGTTTTGATTGGTTAAAAGAAAAGAGACACAAAAAAATTACGAAAAGGCCTTGGCCCAATATTTGTGTACTTAATATGGCTAACATGTTTTTTTATCGATAAAAAAATAAAACAGCAAAAATGATGCAGCTAAATTATTAATATATAAATTATTAATATATACGCACAAATATATATATATATATATATATATATATATATATATATATATATATATATATATACAGATATATTTATTTATTTATATATATATTAATATATCTGTATATCTACATATATTTCTGCATATATACACATATTTCAAACTGTTAAATTTTATGCATATGCATTTTTTTCTCACTTTAACAGGTTTTTTTTTTGAACTTCCATTTTTGACACACATTTTTTATTGTTTTTTTTTTTAAATCTTTTTGTCGAACTTACTGCTCTGTATTAAGCGTAAGCAGCAGTTGAGCGTTAGCTGTTACGCATTACCCGTTACCGTTTCCTGCACAAAATCATTTAAAATGCCACGTTTTGTTTAATTTCACTGAATTTCCGCTTGTTCCGCTTTGTAATTCGACTCATTTTTTATACATTTTGCAATATTTTTGAGATTTTAACGCTGCGGAACGATTGGAAAAAAATTATTTTGTATTGTATAATTCTTAATGTATGAGTGAGAAAGAAGAAGCATGCGCAGTAAGAAACGCATTTCGAGAATTACAATTGCAAGCCGTTACTATTAAAGTTGCCAGATTGTTTGAGAGTAATTTGCGAATGATGTATTGTAATTTAAATTTAACAACACAATAGTTATATAATAATTTTTCCAAAATATTATGTAGAAATAAATAGTTACTAAAAAAAACCTTGATTTGAAATTTTATTTAGATTTTTTTCGAATATACGAATTTCTATTTAGAAAACATAACTCGGCTTACTATTTATTTTTATTTGGTGCATACATTAAAAATGTAACCAAAATATGATAGCTAAATAGTATGATTTACATATATAATATTACATTCGTTAACATGTTTCGCACTATCGCAATAGAAAACACCATACCTGCCTAGTCATGATGCTTTCCCGTATGAATTACAACACGCTTCCCAAAAAATTGTCGACTAACGTCAGTGCTCTCACTATCGCAACATTTGCCTATCGATGTGCAAATATTTTCTGGGTCATCCCTAGAGTCGATTACAAACATATTTGTGAGACAAATAAAAAATAGAAGAATAAAGGCGAGCAGCAAACCTTTGCAATTGATTTTGATGCAGAGCAAACGGTATGTGTGCTGCAATATATAAGTTTATATATCATATCGATATATATATATATATATATATATATATACGAATATATATATATATATCTTCATATTTATTTTACCTTCTAGAATTGCCAGATAGTTTGAGAGTGAATTGTTATTCGATATTGTAATATAAATTTAATATATTTTTTTGCCATTTAAATAAATAAGAAACTAAATAATCGCTGTAAATAACTTTTTTTTTTGCAAATAGAATTATTTAGAAAAAAAAAACATTTTTAACTCGGCTTACTGTTTATTTTTAACTAAGTGCATTAATTACAAATTTTACCTACAAATTATAACTGACAATTACTATTAACATTTATATTAAATTTGTTGATAAGTTAAATTATTTCTACGTACAACTACCGCAATGGAAAATAACAAGGCTAGTAACGATGTTTTTTGTGGTATCGATTACAATGCACGCCTCCGAAAACTGTATCCAAAATATTGCCAACTAACTCAAATTTTCAATCGATCTAACTATAGGAACATTTGTATATCGATGTGCAAATTTTTTCTTGGCCATCCCCAGAGTCGATGACAAACATTTTTGTGAGAAAAACGAAAAATTGGATAAAAACGTCGAGCAAAGCAACAAATTAATATAAATATACTAAATATAACTTAACTAACACAAAAAGAAGAGAAAAAATAATAGGTTAAAAAATGATTATCACCGTAAAGAATCTACAGCAGCAAACCTTTTCAATTGACTTTGATCCGGAGAAAACGGTATGTGTGTGTGTATATGGGTATGTGTGTGTGCGTGCGTATTAATAACTCATTTTGCAGGTTTTGGACCTGAAAAAAACCATTTTCAATGAACGCGGTGCGGAATATTTGGTGGAAAAACAAAAATTAATTTACGCTGGTAAGTTAATAAATTTGTTAAATGCCATTTTCTAATTAATTTTCGTATTTTTTTTTTCTAAGGCGTCATTTTAACCGATGAGCGAACCATTAGTTCATACAAAGTGGACGAGAAAAAGTTCATTGTTGTGATGCTGACTCGCGACATAAGCGTAACTGGCAGCGGCAGCATTACAAATACAACAGACGCTGTAGCATCGGCGCAGCGCAAAACGCAACAGGAGACGACAGCGCAGCCGAAAGCAGCAGCAGCTGAAAGCAAAGCGGAAGCGAAGCCAACGTCAAAATCGAATGCGGTGGCAGAGGGAACAACAAAGACTAATAAAACGACAAATGAATCGATTGTGGAACCAGCGAGCACTGCTGCAGTTGCTGGAGCTGCACGTGCAACTGACGTCGACGTCACTGCCTCGGATTATTCTAGCATTGATTTGGTTGGCGAACTGGCGAACGCGTCGCTGCAGACGCGAGCAGAATCGAATCTGTTGATGGGCGAGGAATACAATCGCACAGTGGCTTCGATGATCGAAATGGGATATGCCCGCGATCAAGTCGAGCGCGCCATGTCAGCCAGCTTCAACAATCCCGAGCGTGCCGTCGAATATCTTATCACAGGCATTCCCCAGGAGGAGAGCCTCTTCAATGCCGGCCACGATGACGAGGACGTCGCCAGGGCAGGAAGTCTGCTGCAGCAGCAGGTCGGTGGTGGAGGAGACGGAGGATCGGCCAGCGATTTGCAAACCGATTCATCAGCGGGTAAATACTCCATTTATTTAAAGTGAAGTGAAAATAGTTTAGATTAAGTTGGAAATATTTTATAGGATACGATTTAAGATATATATAATTAATATTATAATTACATTATATATGTTGTCATTGTAATGTACATTTTATATATTGTGTTTATTTTTTATATTTAATTTAAAATTTTATAGTTTCTTAGTATTTATTTTATTCATATGTTTTATTTATATATTCTGATTTGATATATTTTATTTTAATTAATTGTTATGCATATTATCATTGTCTTTGTCCTTTATATTTGTGTTATTATTTATTACATCTTATTATTTTATAATATTGTATTATATATATTTTACATTTACTAAAAATTATTTATTAAATATTATTTTATAAATATATACATAGTCTTTGTTATATAATTATATTTTAATAATTATCAATTTGTCATTATGTTGTATTTGTCTTTTATATTTGTATTTTATTATATATTCCTATATAGGTTATTTTTATCATATATATTGTCTTAGCCTTTTTATTTATATCTTATATATTATATTATTATCTTTATTTCAGACCCTTTCGAGTTCTTGCGCAGTCAGCCACAATTCCTACAGATGCGTTCGCTCATCTACCAAAATCCACACCTTTTACATGCTGTGCTGCAACAGGTAGATCGAATTATAAATATATACATATAATATATATTTTATATAAATATAATAATCGATTGCTCTTTGTAGATTGGCCAAACGAATCCCGCTTTGCTGCAGTTGATTTCTGAGAATCAGGATGCGTTTCTCAACATGCTGAATCAGCCGCTTGAGGGGGAAGTGGGCGGTGATAACTCTCAGCGACTGGGCGGACGCATTGCCTCCTCCTCCTCGTCCACAACAACAACAACAACAGCAGCAACAACAACAGCAACTAATCCAAGCAGACAAACTGAGAGCTCAGCTCAGGTTCAACGCTCAGCAGCCGGCGCCGAAACTCAGCCAATAACAGTTGCAGCAGAGGATGTTGGTGGCTTGAGCCAGGAACGCAGTCTGCAGCAAGAGAGCCAACTGGCAACCATACGGCTGACACCACAGGATCAGGACGCCATCGAGCGGGTAATCGACATTGTATTTAAGTTTAATTTTAATTAATTTATGTGTAGACAAGTTCCAAGTTGTGTGTAAGGTTTCAGCCCAGTTTTCAGTTCGAAACTATCTACATTCCGATAGCTATCGCTGTATATTTCGAAATTGTCCCTCCATTTGCCTATTAGCTGATTGTTAACGGTTTACACCTATTAGATATAAATTATTATATCACTATATAATAAGTTATGGTTCTATATAACGTACCAATCGATAACTATTTATTTTATTTCTATATGTATTTTTAGTTGAAGGCACTTGGATTTCCAGAGACGCTCGTTCTTCAGGCTTATTTTGCCTGCGAAAAAGATGAGGAATTGGCTGCAAATTTCTTGCTTGCATCCAGTTTCGATGATTAGATTTGGAAATTTTGCGCACAGACACACATATGCATACATACACACGTGTATAATCCCCTCCCCTTAAAAACAAGAGCCGTTACAATAAACAGCAATAACACGAGGTTAATCCACAAAACATAAAACTAAACAATAATAATAATTGCTCATCTTGAATTTGTAATTAGAATACTTACTTGAGACCTGTCGTGAACGGATAATGTAGTTTCTAAGAAATAGTCTAATAATATAATCGCTATATATATAAGCGCCGCCCGTTGGCTAGCTCGTGCTTAGGTACTCGATTCGGCGCCATCTAGAGTTGAAGTATAATAATGCAACAAAGCGAGCGCCATCTAACGTTCGTTACATCGTAGCTACGTATGTACGGCTGCTGTGGCAATCAGCTTCTGATTATATATACTGTGTTGTAATGCTGATGTAGCAAATAGCTTCTAGTAGCGAAGGTGAATAAAAAATTAAATTATTTTAGACGGAAATAATTTCCATTAAATATCACAGCTAAAAAATAGATATGTAGCCGATTACATTACAGATTTTTAAAAATTTATTGCACTTTATGTGGAACATTAATTCTATGCACATCCAATGTTATACGTATATAAATATTTTTTTTGTTAATTTGTTTTATTTTTTGTCTAATCCTTGCTTAAAACCAATAATTATTTAATTAATCAATGCTAACACGATGAATGTCTTTGCCAGATTTTGCAGACACATAATTACACATAATTTTTTAAAATAAGAATTCAAAATTGAAAAACTACAATACACCGGAAAAATGTAGAGTTGATTGTGGGCATAAGTGTATTAATAAATGTATCAATTGTATGTATAACTGTATATTATTAATTTTCTTAAGTGTACGAATTGGCACTTGGAGCCCCTGCCAACTGAACTAGTTGAGCGCGACAGTTACATCAAACAAGTGTGAGCGTGTATGTGTATCTGTGTATGTGTGAGTGTATGTGTGGCACTGCGTCGTTTGTTAAATTGACACCTACCGGACAACGCCAAACGAGTCAATTATTAATCACAACCTGATTTCATGTGTTTTCTTTTTTTGTATTTATGCTTAGTTATTGCAGTAATATTAATATTAGTGAATAATGAATACATCACACACACACACATACACATTTACACTTATGTTTTTATTTATTTACATGCAATATTTATATATATATATATATATATATATATATATATATATATATATATATATATATATATATATATATATATATATATTATATATTATTATATAATATATATAATATATATATATATATAATATAATAGCACAATATAGCTTATTTAAATTTTAGTTGAATTTATGAATGTATATTTTTGTAATTAAATCAAAGTTAAATATTACAATTTGTGTGCATGTGTGTGTGTGTGTGTCCCACACACATATGAAATGTGCTGTTAACCTATAAATATAAATATTTACAAATGCAGTTAGATCGAACAACTGCCGCAGCAGCTAAACATGAGTTGAGCAAAACGAAGAAGCAAGGCAAGGCGCCAGTCATTGTTGAATTGCAGTTGGAAGCTAGTTGCGCAACTCGACTCGAACTCAAAGCGAACGCTTGAGTCCGATCGAACAACAGCCTCTGCAGGAGGGCGCCGTTACACTTGCAGGAGCTCACGGTGCAAAAGGCGGAGAAGACTGCTCAACGTTCGAATGCTCCGCTCGCCTACAATTCATGTGACCGCTACTGTTGAATGGACTGCTGTTTTTTCTCTTTCTCTCTCTTTTGCTCTCTCGTCTAACACTTGGTTAATGTGCGAGCGGGTCAACGTACATTTATCGATTTATTTGACATATTTATGTTGGGTAAGCACATTTTATATGTGAATAAATATATATATATATTATTTTATATGATAATATTTATATTTTCGATATTTTTCATAAGTATTTTTCTTTAATTTAATATAAACGATATGATATTGTTATCATTATCGTTATCGAATTGTGCTCACACATCTATATAAGAATACAAATATGTACTCTTACGAAAACGGACTACAATAGCTATGATCCAAGTTACTAGCTAGCTACGATTTAATGAATATTTTGCTATATGGCATTGGTGCGTGAATGGCACAAAAATTGCAGCGATTAATTCTCGACGACTACGAAACACTCTATCAAATTAAATATATAACTAGATACCCTATATCTTTCTGTTTATCGAATATGTATTGTGGGTGTGTTTGTTTGTGTGTGTTTTATAATGGCACTTGAACTGAAACTTAAGACCTAAGCACACAAAGTTTTTTAGCATACTTTATATTTCCATTCTTATTTGCTATGTTTATCTTTATCTTAATGTTTATCTCTTGTTTATTTACAAAAATTCTAAATATTGCTAAGTCAGAAATTGATAAAAAAATAAAGCATAACCCTCAATAAGCACCCAAATGTGCATAAAATGGAGTAATTTAAAAAAATATTCAAAATACAAATTTAAAAAAATAGATTTGGAAAATATGTTTTGTAGTTTTTATTATTATGAATAATAAAATTCAAGAAAATCAACTTAAGCTTTTTAAAGGCAGCTTTGGGCTTTAGAGAGTTAAGCTTTCCTGATTTTTTTTCTTTCTTTTCTTCTTTCTCTTTTTTTCCTTTCTTTTTACCATTTTTGTTTTCGAGCAACTATTTGCGCGAGCGTCTTAATTGAAATTTTTGCTCTTTCGTTTCTTGTTGTATTTAAAATGGGGGTGTCAACCCTGAAACCGTAGGCGATACCGCAACCCTTTAATTAAATTAATTAAACTCAATTGAGAACTGATACTGGAAATTCATTCAATTGCAATAATTATAATTACATAAATAACAACCGTTTGTATAACTTAAACCCATTCCATTCCCATAGCAGAAAATAAAATCGGCACGACTTGAAATTGAGAACCGATAAGGGAATCCAGTTATAAGAATGGATATTGTTGGTCTAGTACCAAATGAACTAATAATAATTCCAATTATTAGTCAGCTATTAAAAGAACTGATGAAAGCCTTCGATAACCTCTTCGATAACTTTAACCGGAAATTGATATCGAATAAAAACGAAACTGAAATACAATTGACTGATGACTGACTGATGCTGATCTGATCTGATCTGATGTTTTTTGAAGAAGAATCAGTTAGCGTAACGGTTTTTATTAGTCCGTTTATTAAATGAACTAATAAAAGCGTTTCTATAAATTTAAAGTTTAATTGAGAACCGATAAAGAAATTTGCTTATAACTTCCTAGAAGTAGTTATAGGAACGATTATTATTATATCAAAACGGAAATAAATTTTTAATGAAAAAAATCGCTTCAAATTGTGAATTGCAACCGTTAGCATCACGAAACGGTTATAATTAGTTCACAATGGGAGTTGGTAAATTTAGCTTGTTTCCCGAAATGAGATTATGAGATTTGCGGGCACGTTTAGGGTTCCCTGTTGACACCCTGACACCTTTCAAATGCCAAAGTTGGACTACCTGTCACTACCCCGTCACCAGCTTCCGTAGCTTTCGTAGCTTCCGTTATATAGCAACGGGGAGCAGTGGCAGTTCTATTGGGGAACAGCTGGTAACAGCTTCAGCTGGGCATTATCAGCATCGTCAACTAGGAACAGCTTAACAGCTACTAGGAACTTGCAGCTGCAACTGGAAATATCAGCAACTGGGAACAGTTGCAGCTGCAACTGGGGACAGATCTAATCGTCCGCATCCTGCCGCAGTGCTGCCATTTCCATGTCCTCCTCAGAAAAGCCCGACGGCGACAGGCTCTCCGGCGGATAATAGTATCCGCCACTGGTCCCGCCTGGTCCGTTAACAATTAAAGATGGTGGCGGAGGTGTCTCGCAGTCCCCCCCCGCCCCCACCGCCTGAGCCTGGCTGAGCTCCTGCAGATGATAGGCAGCTGCGGCGGCAGCGGTTGACAGGCAGGCAGCCACCTGTCCAGGCCCGGTTGAGCAGTCGGCGGGTGTTGAGGCCGTTGAGGCGCCCCCCCCTCCACCACCTCCTCCACGACACCAGAGCTGTCGCATTTCCGCACGACGATTGCGCATGAGAACTTTGTATTCGGAGATGCGCATTTTTTTTCCATCTACGATGCAGGTGCGTTTGGGGCGTGGCCGATAACGATAGTCGGGATGCTGTTCCATGTGCAGTTTTGAGAGACGCGACTGCTCCTCGTAGTAGGGTTGCTTGTCGGCGTTGGACATCGCCTTCCATCGTGCGCCCAATATCTTGGATATATTCGAGTTGTGCATATCGGGGCAGGCCTTCAATATCTTTCTCCTCTCGTCCTTGGCCCACACCATAAAGGCGTTCATCGGTCGCTTGATGTGCGGCTTGCTATGACCGTGACCGTGACTGTGACCGTGACCGTGACTGTGACCGTGACTGTGACTGTGACCGTGACTGTGTCGTTGTGGCTGGGCGGAGCCAGTGGGCAGGGCACAACTCAGCTGGGTGTGCACGTGGCAAGTGTCGGCATCAAGCACCGCGGATCTCTCGGAGCTGTTGCCGCAACTGTTGATTGAGTCGCGACTCGTGCGTCCGGCGCGCGCCACACCTGCCCCGGCCCCTCTTGCAGCAGTGGCATCGGTGACAACACTGCCAACACTGACAGGTGCGCCGCTACTGCAGTTGCTCGGGTTCCACAAGCGGCTCTGCAATTTAGAGGAGTGAATTAATGATTGATTAATTATTAATATTTAACTAATATTATTATTATATTATTATTGTTAATATATATTTAAATTGATATGTTCTATTTTACGTAAGTATTTAATCTTAATTTACATACTTAATAAAATTAATTAAATAATATTTAATTCTGCATATTTAAGTATTATTTGAGCACTTTGTGTTATTGTGTTATTTATTGTAATATTATATATATATATATTTATTTATTTACTCTATTATTATTGAGTTGAAATATTTAACTAATATACAATTACTAATACAATAATATAATCTCAAATAGTATTTAATTTAATTATTTAAATATTACTACAGCACTTTGAGAGACGAAATGTTAAGAAATATTGCCTGTTATTCATCTGTTAAACGGCTGTTAACCGACTGTTTTCTCTAACTCTCTCTCTCTCTGTCTCTATCTATTTCTTTATTATATATTACGAGTATTTATTAGTTATTATTTATTATTTATAATATTAATATTTAAAGTTTTTACTTACCCTCGACTGCAAATAAGTCGCTTCCACATCTGTAAACAAAGGCGATGCTTGATGCTGATGTTGGTGCTGATGTTGATGCTGCATGTTGCCGGCGACGGCAACAGGTGTGGGTGGCGGGGGCGGGGCAGGGGCGGGTACGTTGGCATTGGCATTCGCAGCATTGGCCGCAGTCTGCGCGATTTGCTGATGCCAATTGAGAGGTGAACTTGGCGCCAGGGTAGTCAACTGCTCCCCCCGGTGATCCCGGGGCGATGAATCGGGCGAGGCGCGCGGCTTGGAAAGATTTAAGGGTGCATCGAAAACCATGTCATCGATGCTGTTGCTGCGACTGCGATTTCGATTGCGACTCTGATTCCTTGTTGGGTTTGTGTCTTCGCTGGATTTGTGTGCGCCGGGCGAAGAAGAGCGCTGACTCGGCTGTGGTGAATCGGGCGGTGTATTGTGACTGTATGTGTGTGTGTGCGTGTGAGGTGAATTCGAGGGGGAACAGCTAGCGCCGCCAGATGGCGCCACATCGGCGGCAAACTTTGTGCCGTGATTAATATTAATATTATTCTCTGTATTATTATTATTAATGCTATTATTATTATTGTTATTATTTATGCTATTATTGTTATTTATACTGCTATTGTTGTTATTATTTGTGGCTGCCACCGCAGCTGCGGCAAGAGCTGCTTGTATATATGCCGTTGTTGGCCACATCGGTTGCAGCTGCTGCGCCAACTTGTGGGCGTGCCCATGGGCGTGCCCTTGGCCATAATGTGATTGGCTGCCGCCGCCCAATATGTGATGCGCTGGCGGCAAAGGCGGACGCAGGAATGGTAAAAACGGCACCAAATTGTTAGGCAAACCAACCAACGCATGTGGATTGTGTTGTGGATGATGTTGTTGTTGTTGGACATGCTGCTGCTGTTGTTGTTGTGGATGCTGCTGCGTTGCATAGCACTGACTGCTGTTAAACTGTGCAGTCAGCTGCTGGTGCATCTCTTGTAAACAGCTCTCTTGATGCATTCGCTGTACAGTTTGCAGTTGCTGTTGTTGCTGCTGTTGTTGTTGCTGTCGTTGTAGGTTCGTCTTGATATCGGTCATGCTTTCGAATTGCGCCTGAAAGAAGAAGACAAGCAAGTCCGTAAATAAATATAATATTTTAAATTCGTCTTAAATATTTCATATTTATTTATTTTCCATTTAATAATTCATTGTATTTTTAATTAAATGTAATTCATTTTTACTCTTTGTTTTGTAAATAAAAAAATGACAAATCACACATTTTGCAAGTTTTGCAGGAGCGCCGCACTGCACTCAAGTTCGATCGCACATGAATAATATTTAATTGGTTTATTTTATTTATATTGATTTGTATGAAAACATCTTATAAACTAAATAAATAAATAATACTAATACAATTGAATATTATATTTGATTTATAAGCTATTTTCTGCTCCTTGAATATGTTTTTTGTTAATTAATAAAATAAAATATTAAGTAGAACAAATAAATTAGAAGTATAATTATGTAAATATATAAATAATCAGTCAGTTATAGTTGAATTTAGATTATGTTCGTAGCGGACGGACAGAGCGAACGAAAATAAACAAGTTCGATCGCCACTGTTGCCCAACATATAATTTGCACAAGCTCAAGTCGATCATACAAGCCTTGCAGCATTTATTGCTTATCTAGGCTTGTATATGTTATCAAGCCTTGCACTATGTTCTATTTCCGAAGTAAGAATGGCTTGAGTTGCAACAAGGTTCGATCGTTTAGTCGCTGCACCAAACATTTTCGGCCTACGCAAGTATATGTATATATGTAAGTGTGCCTGCCAGAAGCCGATCAGACACGACCTCATTTGAGTCAACTGATCGGTTCGTGTGTGCAATAGAGCCAAGTTGTACGTTGCCTTACGTCACTATGCAGACAATACAATACAGATTGATCGAAGCGAACGTCAGACGTAAGACATCGTACAATAAATGCATTGTCTGCTTTGTGGTTACGTCTTACGTTCGCTTTGATTTATCAGGATGTCTCCTTCGCACACACACAATGTTCATGGAAATAGAGAAGTCTGATTTGATTAGGCGATAAACTCTATTGTAAGCATTACAGAGGTAGAAGATTATGCTCAGAATTGCTTCCTTTGTTTTTGTTTTACAGACCTTTGCACAATTTTATTGAATGCTTTTAAAGAAATAAAAATTTGCTTGGAAATTAAATAGCACCAGTTGCTATTGTTTAGTTCTTTAATTGTTATTTCTTAAATAAATTGCATTTGTTATTATGCTAATATTTATTATATATTCCATGTATTTGTATCACTATTATTTCATTATTATTTATGTTGTATTTATCTTATAGTTTATGATATATTTATGTTTATTTTATCGCTTTATTTTGTTTTATTCATTTTTCATTTCAAATTGTAATTTAATTTTGCATTTGTAATTTTATAATCAACAAAAAATAATTCAACGGTTTTTAGTAAATATATAACTAATAATAAGTATTTATTAAACATTTTTTAGAAATACCCTTTAAAAATTTTGTGTTTCTTTAATTTTTTAATAGTTAAATGATATTTTTAAGAAAAACCTTTTAATAATTGTGCAAATTAATAAATAATAAACAAATAGTTTATATTCTTCATTTTTCATTTCAAATTATAAATTTCTGTATGCACTCTTAATTTTACATAATTTATAAAACCTCTTTAAAATTCTGCAGATTCAAGTACCAAAAAAATTGTTTATTATACTCATACACACACATAAGTAGTTTTTGGAACTTTAATTTGAGTTTTAATTGAATTTTGCACTTAAAATCTGTATTTTTTTAAGAAGCCTTTTTAAAAATTTCAGTAAATAAATATATAGATATATATTTCTTATAACTTGTTGCACAAATGATTTTAATAATTTTTCTTTCCTTTTTTTGAGTCACTTTTTGCTTTGCATTTGCATAGTAAAATCTGAATAATGGTTAAGCGCCTACGTAACGTAAATGATGCGTGCTTTGTACTCCATTCTGGCAGACAACTGCAATGACTGAGCCAAATACACATACACAAATTTGTACGTGCGTGTGTTGTGTGTTTTGTCAATTGTCTGCACGGCTCGCGAACGACTTCGCCTGATTGGCTGAAAACAGTTGAGTTACGTTACGTACCGTTACGTTACGTACCGTTACGTTACGTTGCGTTACGTTACGGCTGATGTTGCTTTTGTTTTCCGCACACAACACAAAAGCTTGCAAAGAAGAAGAAGAAGCAGCAGAATCAGCTCGACTGCTTCGCAAGTCAAAAACGTTTTACGTTGATGTTGTTGTTGTTGTTCGTTATTTGTTACCTTTGCCTCGCACTCGCAATCGTGTTCGTGCTCGTTTTTACCGTTTGCAGCGACACATCGTAACGAACTGATGCCGACGACGTGGTCGGCCATGTGAAAATCTGTCTGCGGCTGTTGGAAATAATACAGCTATTGTTTTTGTTTTTTTTTTGTTTACAAACTGCGCAGGTCAAAAACGTTAGAGAGAGCGAGAGGGACAGAGCGAGCTAGTAAGTGAATGAGTGAGCGTGGGAGAAGATGTGGGAAGACGAGAGGGGCTACGTAAAGAGAGCGAAGCAAGTAAGAGTGCGAAGGTGTGTAAAGTGTGGAGGGGGAAGCAATGAGAGCCAAGAGCCAAGGCAAGCATGAATATGTGATGGGTAAGGGGGAGGGGCAGAAGCAAAGAGAGCGAGGGTGAGCGAATTAAAAGCAATAATCGCTGTGACGTCAGCATATGTGACCAGCATTTAATCCACTGTCAAATGTTATTTAACAGAGCGTGTAAATGTAAATGTCCAAAATAAACATACATATGCAAATAAAATGAATGCGCAGAGAGAAAGTGAGAGAGAGGGAGAGAGCGACTGTAAGGGTTGCAGAGAGAGCGAGAGAGCAGCGCACGCCTTTTCTTTGCAGCATTCTCGCTCGCACACACAATAGGACACGACGAGGGGCGTTCTTCAATTTATCTTCTTTTCTTTTTTCAATTGTTCACATTGCGCACACATTGTTGCAATCTAGCACCCTGTTTCGCTCACACTCTCTCTTTTGTGGTTGGCTGGCAGCTGGCAGAAAAAAAAAACAAAAGCTTCGCCGTTGTTTCAAAAATCAATAGAAACGCCGGCGTCGGCGTTGACGTCAGCGTCGCACACAAAGATTATTGTGTAATACAATACGCAGCAAGCTGCAAGCTCCTCCCACTTTTTTCTTTGTGTATATACAGCTGGAAACCCTGGCAAGCAGTGAGCAGCGAAGTCAGCGTCGACGTCGATGGTTTGTCTCCAGCCAATTGTCTCGTCAATTATTTTTGCCATTGTGCGTTTCGGTTGGCTGACGCTTAACGAGCAACACACACACACATACACACACTTACGTACATATGTACCTACTGCGTATTTACTTAATAATAAAAGATATACATTGCACATCTGTACTTGTGTGTGTGCGTGTGTGTGTGTGCGTGTGTGTGTGTACGTGTGTTCATATGTGTTTTGAACAGTTTTCTTTAGTTGTTGGCAATGCCGTCGCCATTTAACAAATGTTATATGAGTTTGTGTGTGTGCATTCTAATGCACTTAGCTATAAATACACACACATATGTAGGAAGGGAATTGGGCTTTTGGAAGCAATTAGAAAATCAAAATAATAAAAAAAAATACAAATTGTTGAAAAAAATAAGTAAATAACAAATTAAATAATAAATAAAATAAGAATTAATCCTATAAATTAAATGTTACACAATTAAAATGCATTATTAAATTACAATTTTAAATGAAAAAATAATCATAATTAAAAATATAAAATTATAAATTATTATTTTGAGTTATTGGAGGAATACAAGAAATAAGAAAATAAATAAAGACAAATTGTTGCACAAATTAATAAAAATAAAATAAATAAATAAAAACTTAAATTATATATACTTAAAATTTTAAAAAGAAAATTACAATTTTGGATGAAAATGCAGAAAAATTTTAAAGTGTACATTAAAAAATGGAAAATGAAAACTAAATAAAATGACAAATTATTATGTGTAATGTTTGGAAATCATTGGGACTATTTTCAGATTTATGTCTATGCTGATTGGAATGTTTGGAAAGCATTGGAAGCAATTATGATTTAACCCAGAAAAATCATCGAGGGACAGTTGACAAAAGAGTCTCTCATCTTGGCCTCTTTTTCCTCTTTTTCCTGACGGCTGAGCAGATTTAATTACAGTCCAGACCCAGAAACAGAAGTGAGTCAGAGATAATAAATGTGCTTTTCATCAACTTGCGTTTGAGATGTGGTTGATAATAAATAGATAAATATACTTAAATTTTATTTATTTTATTTCATTTATGTTTCTCTATTAATTAATTATTTTTTATTTTATTATAATTATTTTTATATTATTTTCGCAGATATGGATATGATTCAAGTCTACACTAAATTAAGCACTAAAAATATAACGATTATAACTTGCATCTTATAAATCTTATAAATATCTCTAATCTTATTAAAATAAATTTGTATAGTAACATTTAACGCTTTATTTTGCGATTCTAATTCACTCTCGGTTATCTTTTTAATTGTGTCTCTTTTTAAGCCAGCGATTGTAATTATCCAGCGACAATTTAGGCACATAAATTGTAATATACACATGTAATAAAAATTGCAAAAGCAAAAAATAAATAAAAATTAAGCGTAAAAATAATATAACGACGCTAACAAATAGACTCAACAGTCTTAAGAAAATAATTCCAACTTAAATAAAACTGTAAACATTTCCACTAAATTTAACGCTTTCTTTTGTGATTCTAAATTCCCGCTGGGCTCCCGATCGTAAATACCTTTGTCATATGCTGTCATCTCGCTTTAGCAAACCATTCAAATTACACAAAACAAATTAGTTCAACTGCTTAGAGCTTTACGCACACACACACACACATGCACGTATAATGAGAAGCAAACAAAGCAAGCAAAACTGTTATAAGAACTGTGCTAATTTATATGTAAGAAGAACAAGCGACAAACCAAACCCTCGGGAAATTAAAGGGTGGGAAATTTTTATGTCCG